GGCAGAGTGGGCTTGGAGGAATCAGGGAGGGGGCTCTGGCCTGTGCTTGGCTGGGCACTGCCTTTCTCTCACCCACTGGGCACTGGTGGCCGGCCCATGTTGGCATGGGTGCCAGGCACTGGTGCCTGCTCACCCAACTGGTTTCCACTGCTCTAGGCTTCTGTGCTTATCTGGAAACTGAGGGTGGTGAGGAGGGCAGGGGTGGTGAGGAGGGCAGATGTGTTGTGAGGAATGGGCTTGAATGACACGAAGCAGCTTGTTGTTGGCTGAAGGAGGAGGTTGGGTGGGGTCAAGCACCATCTGGTGCCCCCTCTTATGGACTTGGAGCTTCTGGAGGGGATCCCCCTAGTCTAGCCCAACGCATGGCAGCCACAGAAGCCTCCCTTGAGGGTGGCTGCTTCCACTGGGTTGGAGGCTGTGGTGGGCTTGCTCTGGGGTGGCTGCCAGTGACCCGGCCTGTGGATACTGCCTCTGGGCTCAGCCGGTTGTCACACCCTATTCAGTCCACCTTTAGTGGAGGGGCCTGGGCATGAGCCCTTGAACAGGGAGAAGGTGGCCCCTGATTGCTGTCCCCAGCAGGTGAAGAGTCAGGTGTGCTCTTTTGGGGGCACCAGCAGTTGGGACCCTGTGGCCTGAGGCTTGCACTCGTCCAGTGGGACAGCACTGCCCTACTGGCAGCCTTTCCTTGCTCTCTGCCCGTCTGTGTTTGCCTTTTTCTGCGGGCAGGCTTCCTACCAGTGCTGCCTCTTTCCGCCGCGCTCTCTGTCTTCCACTGTAGCACTTGGATCCTTCTAGGGCGTGGAAGGGTGTGGGGGCCCACGAGCTGGGTGGGGGCCCTGCTGCACACATGTTAGGGGGTGTTGCATGGTTTTTTTCTCTCTCTCTGCTGACGCTCTAGCTTAGATGTCTTTCCTTTTGCCTTTTTGCAGTCCCTGTGGGCCTTGCTCAGAGCGGAGAAAGCATTTGTTTGTACAAGATCCGCAGACGTGTAAATGTTCCTGCAAAAACACAGACTCACGTTGCAAGGCGAGGCAGCTTGAGTTAAACGAACGTACTTGCAGGTTGGTTCCCAGAGGGCAAGCGAGTCAGAGAGGGGCTCCACACAGAGATGGAGGGAAAGAGAAAGAGAGAGAGCGCGAGAGAGCGAGTGGGGACCTGAGAGGGGCCAGCTGCTTGCTTGGCTTCTAGCTGCCTGCCCGGTGACTACTACCTTCTTGGCTCGCAAGGCCCCTGCAGTGGGTGGCGGGACCTGGTCTGGCCTGGCAGGGCCCCTTCAGAGGTTGCCCTGCTTGCCTGAGTGGATAGACTGATGTGGCTTCATGTGGTGGTGTGGACGCAAGCTGAGTGTTGTGTCCCGTGGTCCTGCTCGTGGTGGCTGTCGGTCTTGACATTGTGATTACTACTATCGCTATTAACATTGACAGCCCTTCCTGGTGTGGGGATGCTGCGTCTACAGAGTGCCAACACTTTCTTGAGGGCCTCGCTCTCTGAAGTCTGTACCACTAGGCTTTTCACCCCTCACTGTCTCTCCACAGGTGGGCAGGGGTTGAGTCCCTCCTCATACTGGGGCTTCCGAAGGCACGAAGGCACGGGCTCTGGCTGTTGGTTTAGGGTGGATAGGAGATTTAACACCTGGGGATAAAAGATTTCTTAAATTCTCCAGTAGTCACGGCAACAACTCCTAACAGCCCACATATTTCCAGTGCCCCCAGCTTGAGTGGAAGGAGGGCTGATGCACACGGTAGAGGGTGTTGCATCACCCCCTAACATTAGACTGTGGACTAACTCCTCACACCTGGGCCTGGTTTTTATTCACCTATGTGAGCGCCCCACTGGCCCCAAAGGCATCTGTACTCTGCTGCTTGTCCACAGTGGGTACCAAGGAAGTGTCAGGTGTGTGAGTGAATACATGAGTGAGTTCAGGGGTGAGTTCAGGAGCAAGGGCTGTGACAGGTGTCTGGCAACCTTTTGATGCCTCGACTGGCATTTATACCAATCTGGCCTGTGCTCAAGCATCACCCAGGGAGGGAGGGGCTTTTGTGGGGATTCCCCCGGCAGGGCCAGGTATCCCCTGGCTAGTCTAGATGCTTCATTAACACAGTTCTCGGAGTGTGGCTACCTCTTCCCGCCCCCACGTTCTTGTGGCTTGTGAGTGTTCAGAGGATGCTGGGGACTAAGTCTTGGGGTGTTGCTTTGGGGCTCTGTCTGTCTTGGTGATATGTGCTGACAGGAAGTGTACACTAGTGTTGGCTGTGGGGGTTCTGTCTAACTCCAGGAATGGATGAGGGGTCTCCACACCCCTTGGGGGACTTGGGAGAGATAAGGGACTTGCCATTTTAGGGTTTCTGTAGAGATGATTCTGCAGAGAGACTGTCTGGGATGGGGATGTCCCAAATGACCTGGGAGCTAACCGAAGTTACCCCAGCTTCCAGAGACCTCCCACAACCCCTGGCTTGGGGGCTGTAGGGGGGAATTCATTACCCCAACTAGAGGCTTAGGATCCCTATTTTCAGAAGGGCAGGGGCTGCTCTGACCCCTCCTCACAGTGGGGAGGGTAGAAGTCGATCAGTCCAGGGGCAGGGGGTAATGAGAAAGTTCTTGGAGTCCCCTCTGCTTCAGTGTGAGTAGCACAGCCACTGATTGTCTGTCCCCCACCCTAAGTTAAAGAGCACATTGGAAAGAAAAGGCAGCCTGGTCCCCGGGGCCTGCCGCTGCCAGTGAACTCAAGAAAGATGAGACCTGTAGCTGAGGGTGGGAGGGATGAGCATGGGGAAGGGAATTGTGCCCCTACCCTGCTGGCTCCCCCTCCCTTGGGAGCCTCAATTTTCCAAGGGCAGTGTCTCCCCTGCAGCTGGCTGTCCCCAGCTGAGCCTCTGCACAGCCCCTTTCCCTCGCTCATGGTGCTCTTTCCACTCTCTTCCCAAACCTGCCCCATGAGACTGAGCTGAATCACCTCCTCCTTCAGGGACCCTTTCCTGAGTAACTTGGCCGAACTCTGTTCACCCATTGGCTCTTAAATGTCAAGTAGGGACTGTCCTTTAGTATGTGCTTATTTGTTGCTTGTGATGAGATGTCCCCATGTCCTTGCTTTGTCTCAACTAGATTGTGAGCTTTAGAGGGCAGATGGGGAGCTCTGGGCATAGCTACTGCTCAGATGACAGCTCGAACAGGGGCCCCACGGACAGGGGCTGGCCCTCCCCCTCGCCCTGGGCTCCTGCGGCGGGACCAGGCTTTCACTGTCCTCTCGCTGCAGGGACCGAGCTGCCAGGAAGGGGAGGCTGCCTGCCCCGCCACCGGGTCTCTTCACCTGGCCCTAACCCCGGCCTCTGTTTTCCGTTCCCCGCAGATGTGACAAGCCAAGGCGGTGAGCCAGGCTGGAGGAAGGAACCTCCCTCAGGGTTTCGGGAACCAGACCTCTCACCAGGAAAGATGGATACAGAATGACTGATACAGAAACCACGCCGCTGCCACCACACCACCACCATTGACAGAACAATCCTTAATCCAGAAACCTGAAATGAAGGAAGAGGAGACTGCGCAGAGCACTTTGGGTCCGGAGGGCGTGACTCCGGCAGAAGCATTCCCGGGCCGGTGACCAAGCACGGTCCCTCTTGGAATTGATTGGATCGCCATTTTATTCTTGCTGCTAAATCACCGAGCCCGGTAGAGAGTTTTATTTCTGGGATTCCTGTAGACACACCCACCCACATACATATGTTTATATATATATATATTATATATATAAAAATAAATATATATATTTTATATATATATAAAATATATATATTCTTTTTTTTAAATTAACATTGCTAATGTTATTGGTGTCTTCACTGGATGTATTTGACTGCTGTGGACTTGAGTTGGGAGGAGACTGGTCCCACCCAGACCCCGACAAGGAAGAAGATGGGAGGAGAGACTCCGGCATGATCTTTTTGTCCCTCTTAGGGAGGCCAGGGTCCCCTCCCTTGCCTAGGAACATGCAAGAAGACCAGGGCATGGGGGCAAATTTGGCCTGCTTTTGGGAACACCGACAAACCCAGCCCTGGTTCCAAGCCTCTACCCCAAGTCAAATGGACAGAAAGACAGACGACAGGTACAGGTACGAGGACGCTGGCTCTGACCAGGAGTTTGGGGAGCCTCGGGACACTGCTTGTGCTTTGAGGATCCCCTCCACGTGCTGCATGGGCATCTTGCCCTCAGAAGTACTACCTGGAAGATTCAGGAGCCTGGGCAGCCTTTTCCTACTCTCACCTGCCTCTGCGATGCCCAGGAGGCCACTGACGGATGTCCTGGCGAAGAGAAGAGAGACACTGGCAGAAGAGCAGCCTGACAGCTCGTTGTCTCCCGGAAGGGCCTCTTGCCTTGGCCATTTCCCTGCTCCCCTTCCTGGGCACAGCCCAGGGGGCCCGATGTCCTCAGACCATTGAAACCACTAGTTCTGTCCCCCAGGAGACCTGGCTCTGTGTGTGTGAGTGGTTAACCTTCCTCTGTCCCCCACCCGACCCTTCCCGCGGCACAGAGAGAGAGGGCAGGATCCATGTGCCCACCATGGAGGCAGAGAAAAGAGAAAGTGTTTTATATACGGTACTTATTTAATATCTCTTTTTAATTAGAAATTAAAACAGTTAATTTAATTAAAGAGTAGGGTTTTTTCAGTATTCTTGGTTAATATTTAATTTGAACTATTTATGAGATGTATCTCGCTCTCTCGCTTTCTCTCTCTCTTATTTGTACTGGTCTTTGTGTATAAAAGTCATGTTTCCAGTCTCTCTTCCCTGATCGGTGACAGTCACTAGCTTGTCCTGAACAGATATTTAATTTTGCTAACACTCAACTCTGCCCTACCCTTTCCCCTGACTCCCCACCACACATTCCTTTAAAATAAGGTTTCAATATACATCTACATACTATATATATATTTGGCAACTCGTGTTTGTATATATATATATGTTTATGTATATATGTGATTCTGATAAAATAGACATTGCTATTCTGTTTTTTATATGTAAAAACAAAACAAGAAAAAATAGAGAATTCTACATACTAAATCTCTCTCCTTTTTTAATTTTAATATTTGTTATCATTTATTTATTGGTGCTACTGTTTATCCATAATAATTGTGGGGGAAAAGATATTAACATCACATCTTTGTCCCTAGTGCAGTTTTTCGAGATATTCCGTAGTACATATTTATTTTTAAACAGCAACAAAGAAATACAGATATATCTTAAAAAAGCATTTTGTATTAAAGAATTTAATTCTGATCTCAGAGCTCCTCCTGGTTTCTCCTTCTCCATTGAATCTTTGTTCCAGACTTCCTCCTGCCCCCTTTCCCTCCTCCCTTGGGGAACATGGCATTTATCTTAGGCCTGGGAAAGGGGTCCCAGGTGTGTACGTGAGGTACAGGCTCGCTGTGCTGGGGGCCAGAGTCCTTCGGTTCTGACTGGGCTGGCGCTGGGAAACCTGCCCATACTCTGCCATGCTATGGTGGGGCGTGGGGCATTCTGGGAAGGGGGCTGGGAGAGACAGCTCCTTGGACAGGAGCCAAGGGTCCCGCAGTGAGTAGTGCTACCTTTAGGAATCATGTGGTCCCAGCTCTGTCCCTTGGTCAAGGAAGGAGCTGGCCATGTGTCTGAGCTTGCTACCCAGAGAAAGGGGAGGGCTGGGTTTGGCTATAGGGCCTTGTTGCTCATTGGCTGCAACAGGCTGAGACTGGGAAGGGGGTGCTCATGGGGGCCTGGACCCCAATATATACTTAGTGAGTCCTGGAGTTCCTTGAGCCCCTAGAAGGTAGACCCACAGCCCTGGTTGCCCCTGAGGGGTCTTCTCTCCTGTGGTCCTGGGGAACGTAGGTGTCTGGGTCTTTGGCATTTATGAGCAGTGCTTCTAAACCCACCCCCTCTAGCCTCTCTTTTATTCCTTCAAACAGTATTTATTGGGCAGCCATCAGGCTAGGGCAAGGGATGCTATTAGGACTAAAACACAATTCCAACCCTCACTGATCCGGTGAGGAGACAGAACTAAATCCACAAATAGAAAAATACCTAAAATATGATGGGGGCAGCTGATCTGGTTTGGGGCTAGGGAGTGCATTGGGGGTGGCAGGGTCTGGGGGTCTTCTCATGGTGTTACCTCTAGGCTGCCTCTTAAAGAACAGGTAGAAGAAGACAGAACAGGGGGAGGAGGGTGGAAGGGTAGAAGCGGGCATTTCAGGCAGAAGGGCTAGTGTGAGCAAAGGCTTGGCAGGGCCACTCGGTCAGGGAACCAGGCGAGGGGGGGGCTGGGGAGATAGGCAGGGTTAGCTTTGGGGGAATCTGCAACCTGAGCAGCAGCTGAGGTTTTAAACTGAGCGTCCCAGCAGCGAGGCAGGCAGGGAGGCCCACAGCAGGTTGTTGGAGTCCTCCAGGGGGAGATACCCAGGGTGGTGGTGGTGACTCCCACGACTGCTGCGGAGGGTGCCCTGTGCCTCTCCTGGCTGCAAAGTGAGGAAGGCTGGAGGCGAGGTCCCTGCCCTCGCTGGAGCTTTTGATCAAGTTCTCCAGGCGCTTTCCACCTGCTGCCCTTACACCGGTTAACACCGAATCCACACCACTGCCCCGTGAGGTGGGGGCTGTTGTCATCCCAAGTAGATATTTGCCCAAACCTCTCAATGTCACCCCCCCCAATGATTGTCCTTTTCCTGCCCTTTAGTTGACTGTCGCACAACAGTCAGAGTTGAACCTGTTAAAATGTGAGCCAGTTGTGTCACCTTTGGCTTATAATCCTGCAGAGACTGTTTTACTCAGAGAAAAAGCCAAAGTCTGTACAATGGCCTCAAAAGGCCCTGTGCCATCCAGGCTGCCTCTCTCCCTGACTCAGTGACTTCTGACCCCTTGGTCATTAGGCTCCAGCCGCACTGGCTTCTCTGTGCCTTAAGTAGCATGCATGCTCCTTCCTCAGGGCCTTAGCGCTGGCCATTTCTTCTTCCTGGACCTCCCCCAGATGTGGCATACCTTCAAGTCTTGTTACCTTCTCTGTGAGGCCACCTTGACCACTGCGTTTACCATCGATCGACACCCCTTCCTCACTCTGCTCCGGGTCCTGTTTACCACCCCTTTCCCCCCATAGCACATACAACCTTCTAACATATTCTAGAACAGAGCTGGCCAATAGAACCATAACATGAGCCACATGTGTAACTTAAGATTTCCTAGGAGCCCGATTTTAAAAGGTAAAAAGAAATAGGCAGAATTGATTGGAATAATATATTTTACTTAACCCCAATGTATCTAAAATGTCATTCCAACACCGAACCAATATAAAAATCAGTGAGAGATTGAACACGTTTTAAATTAAATCTTTGAATCCATTGTGCATTTTGTTCTTATCGCATATCTCAGTCGGGAGTGGCCGCATTTCCAGCGCTCAACATTCGCATGTGGTCAGTGGCTACCATTTTGGATAGTGTAGCTCTAAAATGTACTCCCCTTCGCTCTTTCTTCACTGCCTCCTCCCCCTCTAGGGTGCAAGCAACACGAGGGCAGAGATTTGTGTCTGTTTTGTTCATTGCTGTGCCTCCAGTTCCTAGAACAGTGCCTGGGACACTGTACATGCTCAGTAGACATTTGTTAAACTGGGACCTGGTAGCTGAGGGTTTCGCCCCAAGACTGTGGCGGTGGATGAGGACTGGCACTGGAGGGTGATTGGTGGAGGGGACATGACAGAAGAGATTCTGGGGCTTTCAGAAAGGTGGGGATTTGAGCAGGGCTTGGGGAGAAGGAGCCTCGGCATCGGTGGTAGGTATTAGCGACGAAGGCCTCTTCATGAGTCTAGGCGCTCTCCTCCTTTAAAAAAAAAAATTTTATATATATATATATGTAATCTTTATTGATTTCAGGGAGAGGGAGAGAGAGAGAGAAACATCAATGATGAGAGAGGGTCATTGATCGGCTGCCTCCTGCACGCCCCCTGCTGGGGATCGAGCCTGCAACCTGGGCATGTGCCCTGACCAAGGATCGAACCGTGATCTCCTGGATCCTAGATCGATGCTCAACTGCTGAGCCACGCTGGCCGGGCTGTCTCCTTTTAGCAAGCCCAGAGATGGGGCTCATTATTTTGCTTGGCAGAGGAGAAGCAGGAGGCTCAGAGAGGGTAAATAACTTGCCTGAACATTTAGGTACAGCTAGTAAATGGCCAAGCTAGAATCTAAACCAGCTTTCCTGACTCCAATTCTAGTGCTCTTCCCACCACACCACAGTTGCCCCAGGCTAGGGCAGAGCATCAACAAATAAAAACGAAAAGTCTAGACTCAGTACAAACAGGCAGGAGAGAGGTGGAACAGGGGGAGGATGTGGTGGTGGCCAAGCCCAGAGCTGAAATCCAGACTTCCTCCAGTGTGGTGAGGCAAGGCAAGAGGAGGCAGGGATGTCTCCAGGGGCTGGGGCTCGTCAGTGGAAAACCCGAAACTGAAGTACGAAAGAGATTGCAACACGCAGCCTCAGAAGAGAGAAATAGTCTTTAAATAGATTATGGAGAAAAGGAGGGTAAAATGAACATGCTGCTTTCCCCAATTGTATAAGACCTGCTCATACACCCCCTGCAGCCTTCCCAAAGGCCCGCCAAGGCCCAGAGAGGGTCCAGTCAAGGCCCAATGCCTCTGTTCTCTGCCGTCGGGCCTGCCAAGCTGTCCCAGCTCATCTCCGCCACCGTGGGGCTCACATCCTTCCCCCTTTTCCTTGGCCATCCACAGTGATCCTTCTCAACTTCGCTCTGCCCACCCTGCAGCCCTTTCCCGTTTTCCTAAGGAGTCGCCTAACCTGGTCATAGCCCCAAAGGCCTTTGGGGTACTTGCTTCTCCAAAGAACCTGTCAGTCTCCTCTCCTCCCTCCTTCAAGGAGGTTGGATGGATCCATACAGCCCTTGGTGATTCTGGGTCTGTTTTGGGTGTTAGGACCATTGTGGTGGCCTGTGTGCAAATACGGTTCCTCCCACCCTGGGCCTGTGTGCTGCTCCTCCTAGCAGATAGTGTCTACTTTGAATCCGGGCTGGCCTTGTGACTTGCTTTGACTAAGAGGATGTGCAGAAGAGATTCTGGGGCTTTCAGGCCTAGGCTTTAAGGAATATTGGAAGGCAGCTGCCATGTTATAAGGAAGTCCAACTACCCTGCTGGGGAGAGAGAGGCTCATGCAGAAATAGCCCCCAGCTGTTCCAACCAGCCCAAGCTGAGGCACCAGCCACGTGAGTGAGGTCATTTTGGATTTTCCAAACCCAGGTGAACCATTTTAGCCAACAACACATAGAAGCCATCCCTGCCCAAGTGTAGAGAGTGGCGAGCAAGCATACAGGCCGTCTTTGTTTCAAGCTATGACATTGTGGGCTGGTCGTAACACTGCAATCATAACAGCCATCCAACTTAAGAGTCACTTTCGTGGGATTAGGACCTTTGTCCCTTCCCATTCATAACGTTTTAGTGGTATGCATGATGGTCTCAGGGGGTCAAGGGAGGTTCAAGGATGGCAGGACATATTTCTAAAAGAATCAAAGACCAGGGGTCTGCCCTGGTGGGAAGACTCAGGCAGGGCAAGGACCGAGGCAGGAAAAAATATTACCCAAATTTCTAGACCAAGGAGAGGAACTCAGTTTTATTGAAGTCTCACCAAGAGGAACTGAGCTTTACCTACAGCATGAGGGAAAGAGGCTAGAGGTGAGACGAACTGGCAGAGAAGCACAAAGGATTTGGAGGAAAAGGCCACGGACTTTTTCACCCCTTTCCTTCCTCCCTGCCTCCGACGCTGCAGTGTTTATGGAATACTAGTCACATGTGCTATGTGTAGAATGATCTCTCAGTTACTAGGGTGGCTTTAGCCTATGCAGCCTAGAGACCGGGGATGGCCTACATGACCCTTTGGAGGCCCCACCAGGTTGGATTCGGAGTTGTTGGCAGGGAGACAATTCAGCTTCATCCACAGGATGTTCTCTACCATGACGCGGGGAATGGGGAAGGGCAGGGAAGGGATCAGTAAATATTTACTATCTGCCTGGAAAGGGAAAATGCAAGGCAAAGATCGTGCCTGGCTGAGCTAGAGGAGTGGGCAGAAGTGACTCAGAAGGGGGCAAGTGATTCAAAGGAAAAGGGCCCATCAGGCAACGGTGCCCACTGGAGAAAGGCTGGGCCCAGGTCTCCTCAGGATGAGGGCTCCACAGGGATTTAAAGGAAATTTTATAAGGTTGCATTTGCCTTTGGGGGGCTAGTCCGTTAAAGAAGGGACTATAAGTGCTGGCCTCTGGGAG